GTGTGTTTGTGTGTGTGTATATTAAAAACTTAAACTTAAAAGTAAAATAAGCTGAAGTTGGTACTAAAGTTACTAAAACTAAAACTGTAAAAAATAAACAAAAATTACAGAAATAGATATACTTAAAAAATAACAAATAAAATGAAAAACTGAAATGAAAGATAATAAAATAGTTATATATATCACAATAGAATATAAATATTACTAAAATAACACTGGCCTTTTGAAGAAAGTAGGTTTTAAAGGTTTGAAGTTACATGAAAGAGTAAACGATAACAGAATGGCTGAACTATCCTTTTAAATGTGTTTATCTTTTGAAATGTGATTTTTCTGAAACTGTCAAGTCTGTATCACTTTCACAGCTCTGTGCGGACGTGTTTCTCCACCTCTGGCCCACAGCTGTGCACACACCGACAAACACACACATACACACGCAAGCAGCATCACATCATTCCAATTTGTGTAAACACTGGGGGATGGTGGAAAAACGCACTACCCTTAACACAAATGCACACAAGCTGCCCTTCCATCCACACACACACACACACACTCAAGAACACACATGCAATCTCTTCTCTATTTGTAGTGCTGCTCTTAAAACACTCTTCCCCATCCCCTTATCTAAACATCACCCATGTCCATCCCTAGCCCCTGCTGTTTTCACTCACCCGTCTCAGCAGACGAGCCGTCCACCTGCGTCCACTCCAGACCTCATGACCTCCCTCCACTTTTACACATCTCTCCCGAGACCCACACACTCTTGGAGTACCATTGCACTCATTACTAATACAGGTGGAAGCCAGAAAACAGAGAGACTAACTAGAGGCAAAGAGGAAATGGCATATAGGAGCGCACACTGATGAGAATAATGAGGGTTCTAGTCGAAGGGGTCACCGTCAATACGCACGGCCACCGCGCATCAACTCCCAGCAGAGAAAGAGCGACAAATAACCCTTGTATAGGCTTGAATAGGGAACAAACTTTACAATAAGCCAGAGGACGGAAGGTGTTACGCAAGGCGAGGCATCGCGTTCACCAATTGATTTCTATTAATTCGGCGTAGAAGCAGTTCAGGGACACATCATGTTGGTTAGCTGCATGTGCTAATTGTGTGACGGTGTCCGCAAAACCGCACGATAACAAGACCCAAGGCCAGAACATTTGCTTCGTGATGTCAGGGATGTAATCCAATAATTCATTCATGTGATATGAGTTCCTGCAGGGGTTGATAGTGAGAGCTCAGGACGGCTTAGAAAAGAGGATTTTGAATTCCATACAGGTACTTCTGATTGCTCTGTGCACATGTTGTTGACATTATAATACATTTTTGGGAATTATGAGTACGGTTCCAATGATCCAATTAATATGGATGGTTTATACATGACATTTTACCACGAATGTATCTTTACAGTTGCATAAAATGTAAAATTGTGGCTTGGATCTAGTCAAACAGCTTTTTAAGCTGAAGGATAGCACTCATTTTGGAATATAAACACTATAAAAGTGAACATATGCAGCTGAAAAGACATATTTCTACCTGATTTGAGCCTTTAAATTCTTACATTTGAGTAACCGGGTTTATTCAGTTGTGTATAATAATTTCTTTGAACTGAATCAAATGGGTTAATTTAGGTGTTACCCCATGAAGAACATTTTTACATTAACTGACCTCTCTTTAAAGAGTCTGATAACAAAATCTTTCAGATTTTTCAGAAATTTCAGATTAAACACTGGATGATCAGACTGGATGATTGTGAATCCCTCATGTTAATGTACTAAAGCTTAAATAGGAATCTGTGTGTGTGTGACTGAGTTTTAGGTACTATTGACTGAGGAAGGATGTGAGTCCATTGTGGTACAACAATGAGAAGATCTTCCCTCCAGGAGCCCAATTTGACTCTCAATGGGTTTGAGGAACATCTGGGCTGAAGGGGTGACAGTGTATGGGCCCCCAGCAAGCTATTCCCTGCCAATTGCATTTAATGCGGTAACACAGTCCAGGACAGGCTGGAAACAAACATGAATGGAGCACAATTATACAGTTACCGCTCTCTTCAGCCTCCACTGTTCATTAACAGACAATGAAGAGAGCGTATGACAGCCCCACGTCACAATAATAAAGAGCTTTGTTAGAGGCTTCCAGCCTCCTCTATGCTTACAGACACTGCATGAATCACTATATTATAATGGACAATCGATTGTTCTTGGATGTGATGATACACACTGACCTCACTATTTCACATACACACACAAGCTATAAAATCCCATTCACATACATTGTTTTCAACCTGTATGTACACTTTTTTGTCATTTTAGGGTTTTTATTAAGATGTGATTTGGACCAATTATGAACCTCATAAGAGGTTTTAAATATATGATCCCTCACAAAATCAGCAAACACACTTCACCTTAAAACTCTGTATGTTGTAGGGATAGTTCACCCAAAAAATTAATATGTTGTAATCATTTACTCACCATTAATCCAAACCTCTACAAATGATTGGTCCATGCAATAATAAATGGTAAATGAAGATGTGAAGCCCCAAGAAGAACACAAAATCACCACAAAAGTGAGGGGGCAGGCACAATTTTTGGGGGGGTTTTTGGGGTTAACTGTCCCTTTGACCATTTCTCTTCCTGAATGAGCGCCCAGTCTATAAACACCAGTGTCCACTCCATGCTGCAATTACTGTAATCTCCAGTATGCAGTGCGCACTTATTCCATTATAGACGACCAGTCACAAGAAGGAAAATATGGAAAACGCGCTCTGCTTGTGTCACAGCATAAAAACATCTGCTGGTGGTCAATCTCAAGCATGATTGTGTGATTTTGAACATCATGCACTTTAACATAAAATTTCAACAGAATACGTTCATCACATAGTATAGTATGTCACTATGATTTTTTTCCAGTCAATATTCCCTCAGAAATAACCGTTTTATTGTCCTGTGAACGTGGCAAAAAGGGCTGATGTTGTGCTTCAAATATATAAAATCCCATAACATACACAATACACCGTAAGCGTTATTCACTCACTCAATCTGGCACATAAAGATTTTAGTGACTAATTTGTTTGCACGTTGCGACGTGAGTGCAATTAAAACCGCACTGCGTTTGCGCCAAGTTATATTCGCCAAAGTGACACAAACTGCCATTTACATTTATTCCAATCGTCTTTAGTTAGGATTGTAAACTTATCTAAACAATATGGCAACAGTTGGAGCTCCGCCGACTGACTGACTTGACTGACTTAATGACGGTATCAAATATCCTTTCCACCCCCATCGCTTTTACAATAAACGGCATTTTAAAAAACACTAATTATGTTACGTTGTGACGTCACTTTATAACAGAACATAACGCTGCAATAATAGAACACTGCAATAATCCAGTTGTATTTGTATTGGAGGCGTCAAACTTACCTCAGGCGAGTCAGTGCGTAACGCTCGCGGGCTGTCAGCGCGTCCAAAAACGCATGAAAACGCACACACGGCTTCGTCTTATAAGAGCACCATTTAAAAACGAGGCCAAAAAATCCCACATTTTCCAAAGAAAGGCTCAGCTCCTTGTGTTTTCCCGCATGCTAGGAGCGAGCGAGCGGCGCGATGGTCGGTGTCGGTTTACGCAGCGGAACTCTCTCCGTTCACTCCCTTTGTAAGTTCTAGAGAGGGATGGTGTATTAAACCCGTCCAGATTCACTTCTTCAAAGCGGTTCCCTTCCGTCTCAGCAACTTGAACCCCGCGCCCCTGTTAAAGTGAAGCTCTGTGAGAGAGACAAAGGTGCTCAGCGGATGGGAAGCGGCGCGCAGCTCCAGTACGCCACACACGCTGCACTGGAGGATATACTGCCTCCTGATGGGTATCGGTAAAGCGATGAGGCGGACCGGTGGCTCACAAAAGCAGTTAAAACAGGTCTCCGCCCCAACCTCCCCTGTCCTGTATGGGAACGGGGCCGGAATATCATCATAATCAGACAGAGTGAAGCATTTGTCATTCTCTAATGGACTTCTGTGCTGTAGACTAGCACATTATTTTAATGACTTTTTTCTAACACTTTAAAGTGAGACACATTACAGACTGCATGTTGGTACCATTCACACAGGATGTTACATGTACAGTAAATGTAAAAAAAAAAAGAAAAAAGACAGAAAGAGAAATACACTGTATATGTTTTTAATTTTAACTGAAAATGTAAATGCAATGTAAAAATGTTAACTGCTTGTTACCTTACCATTAGATACATAAAATTCCATTCAATTTAACAGGATAATACATTTAATTTTACAATCAAACACTTTTGGAAGTAAAAAGAGTGAATAATTTACATTTAAAATATGTAATATCTTCAATAAGTAAAATATTGTATGTGCATCACATAATAGTAATACATAGAATTTTTGTTTCTTTTTTGTTATCAGTTGAAATACATGGTTTTATATATGTGAAATAAATGGTTTATGAAAAAAGATAAAGTTATGAACTGAAAAATATAGGCACTAAATTGCTGACAGAGAGAGACAGACAGATGGATAGATTAATAATAATATAATAATCATATTAATCATATTATATTTAAATAATTTCATTTTCGCTATCAGTTGAAATATATGTGAAAGAAATGGTTTATTAAGAAATATAACGTTATGAATTGAAATTTACAGGCAATACAATTCCTGACAGACAGATATGCATGTATGGGGTTATAGTTAAAACATTAGAGTTGAAGCAGCAGGAAGTAAAACAACAACCCTCAGATAATCCTGTATATTCTGATCTCAGTAGATTCAATAGATTACGGCCGCTTCTGCATTTTAACACTTGAATGGATCTGTCTGTCTGCATCCTCAGCTTAAAACACTCTGTCACGAAATATATACTATTTAGAGATAAGCATCTTGCCTTTGCCCGAGGCGAAGGATTAACCTAAATTAAAAGAAAAGGGTATCTTAACCTTTTTGTGACACCTCTTTCTACATAATTTTTTAGAAAAGCACATAACCAATTATACTTCATCTTAAACGGTACCGGTGGACCCTGCGTGTAGGACAGTCAAGGGACTGCAGCAGATCTGAATGAAGAGGGGCCTTTCTAGAATGTTTAGAGCAACTTCAGTTGAGTACGGAGCCTTTCATACCTCTCAAACTAAACATGCAACTGCAGTTGTAACACTCAATTATGGGCAGTGCTTCCTCTCATGTAATCATAATGGAAATCTTCATTATACTTCTGAGTGACACAGGCTACTTAAATAAAAGCCTCTTGCCCCAGAGGCCCCTCAGATTCACGAATAAAAGCCTTGAGTGCAGGCACTGGGAACGGAGGAAGCATAGATATAATTTAGAATCTGTTTGGATAAGGATTTACTCAGGGAGGCGAATCGAATGGATAATGGACACCAGTCCACAGCAGGACCCAGGAGACCACATAGAGATGAATCTACAAAACCCTTCATATTATAACAAAAACAATCTCCATCATGCCAAGCTGCATGGTGAAGCATGCGATTGCCACGGCATATGGAGCACCTTTAAAGGTTAATTTGGCACAATAAGAAGGTATTTCTGCACTGTGACATGTTTTAATCAGTTAACGGCTGGGAATACTGAGTATTTATGGAGATCACACCTATCAGTAGTAGAGCCTATGATTCCTACAATGTGGAAAATGAAGACAGACTTTTGCAAATTTTGGATATCAATAGGGCTGCACTTTTAATCAAATCGTGACATGGATTAGTGCCTGTGAATATTAAAGCACAAAAAAGTGCTATTGAAACATGAAGTCTGCATGTTCTTAAAATCATTAAATTGTTAATGATTTATGTCTTCATTTGATTGCCACCGTTTTTGATAATAAATCTGAATTAAATCATAAATCCAGAAATATTAAAAGACAACACAGAATTTCTCAAAAACAAAACATCTCACAGGGCCTGGTATTATAAATTTTGTAATAAATTAAAATGTTTAAAATTTTTGTTAAATTCAATTGATTAGACATTAAAATTTAATTAAACAATTAAACTGGAAAACATGGAATTTGTGAAAAATAAAATAGAATTTAAGGGGAAAGAATTCATAGGGTCCTAAAAATGTAATCTTTAAACTTTTAATTAATTGCAATTCATTTGTATACAATTCATGATTTCAGTTAATTAGAAATGATTTTTGATCACTTAATTTTCATTTGAGACAGAATTTAAAAATATAATTTTAATAAATAAAAAAATTTTAAGATAATATTTAATCTTGGCTGTGGGGTTGGGGGCAACAGTAACATAAAAAATGTATTAATTAAGGCCCGTTCACACCAAGCAAGATAACTATAAAGATAACAATAAAGATATAGCTCTAAAAATCGTTCTCAATATTAAAGAATAGCATAGTTCACACCACAGCTATAACGATAACGATACAGAGGAACGATATCATTGTGAGCACTTTCAAAACGATTTTTTTCCAGCTGATGAACGATAAAACACTGACAGCCAATCAGAATCCATCCTGCTGTAACGAGCTCAAGAATTTAAAGCGGAAGACGCATGCGCATTGTGCCCTCAGAATAAACAGACGAAATCGCTCGCTGGTGTGGACGCTAATATCGGACGCTAATAAACGTAAGCAAACAAATAAACAACAAATAAAATGAGTTTTTGTTTGTTTTTGTTTTGTAAAACAATAACATTGCCAATGATGTCCGGATTTTAAATGACAACATGACTGACAACAGTTTATCTAATAGTATGTTCAAATATCTAATGTAAATGTTCAAATAAAGCTTTGAAAAAGTTTCATAAATGGTAAACCTCACATTTCAGCTTTTAAATAAAGAAAAGGGTCAAGTCAGAATGATAATTGATTAATAAATGATTATATGTATTTATCTGCTCCATAAATAATACTAGACACCTTATTGTTTAAATGTGTAGAATCCACATAAGCTTGTTTTTCATTTAACCGGTCAAAATTTACAGCAGGGCATGCTAATTCGGTCCGTTTTTTGATCTACACACCTTTCACTTTTTAAGACTAAAACAAAAGATGGATTCATTGTTATTCTTAATTAAAAAGCATAACAACAATAACAATAACAGTAAGATACAATGACAAACTAGCTTATAACTATAAAGATAACGATATTAGCGTCCACACCAGCGAACGATATCGTCTGTTTATTCAAAGAGCAGGCGCATCTGCCGCTTAAAATTCTTGAGCTCAATACAGCAGGATGGATTCTGATTGGCTGTCAATTTTTTATCATTCATCAGCTGGAAAAAAAATAGTTTTGAAAGTGATCCCAACGATATCGTTTCTCATTGTCTTTATCGTTATAGTTGTGGTGTGGACTCTGCTATTCTTTAAAGGA